CATTCACAATTGCTACAAAGAGAATAAAATACCTAGGAATACAACTAACAAGGAACGTAAAGGACCTCTTCAAAGAGAACTACAAACCACTGCTCAACGAAATAAGAGAGGACACAAACAGATGGAGAAACATTCCATGTTCATGGTTAGGAAGAATCAATATCGTGAAAATGGCCATACTGCCCAAAGTTATTTACAAATTCAGTGCTATCCCCATCAAGCTACCAATGACCTTCTTCACAGAACTGGAAAAAAACACCTTAAACTTCATATGGACCCAAAAGAGAGCCTGCAGAGCCAAGTCAATTTTAAGCAAAAAGAAGAAAGCAGGAGGCATCACACTACTGGACTTCAAACTATTACAAGGCTACAGTAATCAAAACAGCATGGTATTGGTACCAAAACAGAGATATAGACCAATGGAATAGAACAGAGGCCTTGGAGGCAACACAACATATCTACAACCATCCAATCTTTTACAAATCTGATGAAAACAAGCAATGGGGAAAGGATTCCCTGTTTAATAAATGATGTTGGGAAAATTGGCTAGCCATGTGCAGAAAGCAGAAACTGGACCCCTTCCTGACACCTTACACTAAAATTAACTCCAGATGGATTAATGACTTAAACATAAGACCTAACACCATAAAACCCTAGAAGAAAATCTAGGCAAAACAATTCAGGACATGGGCATAGGCAAGGACTTCATGACCAAAACACCAAAAGCATTGGCAACAAAAGCCAAAATAGACAAATGGGACCTAATCAAACTCCACAGCTTCTGCACAGCAAAAGAAAAAGTCATTAGAGTGAATCACCAACCAACAGAATGGGAAAAATTTTTGCAGTTTACCCATCTGACAAAGGGCTGATATCCAGAATTTACAAATAATTAAAACAGATTTACAAGAAAAAAACAAACAAGCCCATTCAAAAGTGGGCAAAGAATATGAACAGGCACTTTACTAAAGAAGACATACATGAGGCCAACAAACATGAAAAAATGCTCATCACCACTGGTATTTAGAGAAATGCAAAGCAAAACTACATTGAGATATCATCTCATACTAGTTAGAATGGCAATCATTAAAAAAATCTGGAGGCAACAGAAGTTGGAGAGGATGTGGAGAAATAGGAACACTTTTACACTGCTGATGGGAGTGTAAATTAGTTCAACCATTGTGGAAGACAGTGTGGCGATTCCTCAAGGACCTAGAAATAGAAATTCCATTTGACCCAGCAATCCCATTACTGGGTATATATCCAAAGGACTATAAATAGTTCTACTATAAGGACACATTCACATGAATGTTCATTGCAGCACAGTTTACGATAGCAAAGACCTGAAACCAACCCAAATGCCCATCAATGATAGACTGGACAGGGAAAATGTGGCACATATACACCATGGAATATTACACAGCCATCAAAAAACAGTGAGTTTGTGGCCTTTGTAGGGACATGGATGAACCTGGAAACCATCATTCTCAGCAAACTGACACAAGAACAGAAAATCAAACACCACACGTTCTCGCTCATAGGCAGGTGTTGAACAATGAGAACACATGGACAAAGGGAGGGGAGCACTACACACTGGGGTCTGTTGGGGGGAAACAGGGGAAGGACAGTGCAGGGTGGGGATTTGGGAAGAGATAGATGGGGGGAAATGCCAGATATAGGTGAAGGGGAGGAAGGCAGCAAATCACACTGCCAAGTGTGTACCTATGCAACAATCTTGCATGTTCTTCACATGTAGCCCAAAACCAAAAATGCAAAAAAAAAACCCAAATCAAGCCAAAAAAAAAAAAAAAATCATCGTAGAAGACAGTGTGGTGAATCCTCAAGGGCCTAGAAATAGAAACTCCATTTGACTCAGCAATCCCATTACTGTGTATATATCCAAAGCATTATGAATCATTCTATCATAAAAACACATGCACATGTATGTTCATTACAGCACTGTTTACAATAGCAAAGACCTAGAATTAACCCAAATGCCTGTCGGTGATAGACTGGACAAGGAAAATGTGGCACATATACACCATGGAATACTATGCAGCCATAAAAAACGATGTGTTCGTGTCCTTTGTAGGGACATGGATGAATCTGGAAACCATCATTCTCAGCAAACTGACAGAAGAACAGAAAATCAAACACCACATGTTCTCACTCACAGATGGGTGTTGAACAATGAGAACACATGGACACAGGGAGGGGAGCATCACACACTGGGGTCTGTTGTGGGGGACTAGGGGAGGGACAGCAGAGGGTAGGGAGTTGGGGAGGGATAACATGGGGAGAAATGCCTGATATAGGCGACAGGGATGGAAGTAGCAAACCACATTTCCATGTATGTACCTATGCAACAATCTTGCATGTTCTGCACATGTACCCCAGAACCTAAACATCAATAAAATAGATTTTAAAAAGAAATGTGTGCACGGTGGCTAAGTGTCACTGTGATTCACATGAATAGTTTTATTTCATAAATGCAAGTGTTGAATGATGAGATAACAGCATACTATAATCTGATCAATCTACTGAAAAATATGGCCAAAAATTTCTTTTTTTTTTTTTTTGAGACAGAGTTTCGCTCTTGTTACCCAGGTTGGAGTGTGATGGCACGATCTCGGCTCACCGCAACCTCTGCCTCCTGGGTTCAGACAATCCTTCTGCCTCGGCCTCCTGAGTAGCTAGGATTACAGGCATGTGCCACCATGCCCAGCTAATTATTTTATTTTATTTATTTATTTTTGTATTGAGACGGAGTTTCACTCTTGTTACCCAGGCAGGAGTACAATGGCATGATCTTGGCTCACCACAACCTCCGCCTCCTGGGTTCAGTCAATTCTCCTGCCTCAGCCTCCCGAATAGGTGGGATTACAGGCACGTGCCACCATGCCCAGCTAATTTTTTTTTTGTATTTTTAGTGGAGACGGGGTTTCACCATGTTGACCAGGATGGTCTCAATCTCTTGACCTTGTGATCCACCCACTACGGCCTCCCAAAGTGCTGGGATTATAGGAGTGAGCCACCGCACCCAGCCAAAAATTTCTTGAAAAATCTTAGAGAAGCAATAGGTGCTTTCATACTTGTTCCATCATAACTTGATGTAAAAACAAAACAAACAAAAAAACAAACAAACAAACAATAAAGCAGGATTAGCATGATATGGAGCACATAGAATAGTGGGTATAATCGTTTCATTTACTTCACTTAAATCAAAGTCTTCGAAATGAATTAAAGCATAGCTAAGAGACTGGAGAAGAGAACTAAAGAAGATGCAGCAGGTGATGAATGGAGTGCTAATAAGACTGCACATTTTTAGGAAAGACAGTGGAACAAATGAGGTATGGTATTAGTATTACACAATGATTAAGTGTGATTCTTAGTGGTAACATTGCTTGAGTCTGAACTCTTACTCTGCCAATTTAAAGTTACATAACCTTGGTTAATCTATTTCCCCTGCCTAAGCCTCCAATTGAACTTTGGTAAAACGGCAAGAGCAATAGTCCCTATCCTCTAAGTTCCTAATTAAGAGGCATGATACATCTTAAACATTTAGCATAGTGCTTGAAACATAATCTTAGGGTTTTTTTTGTTTTGTTTTTGAGACCGAGTCTCCCTCTCCACCAGGCTGGAGTGCAGTGGTGCGATCTCAGCTCACTGCAACCTCCACCTCCCGGGTTCAAGTGATCCTCCTGCCTCAGCTTCCCAAGTAGCTGGGACTACAGGTGTGTGCCACCATGCCCAGCTAATTTTTGTAATTTTAGTAGAGACAGGGTTTCATTGTGTCGGCCAAGATGGCCTCGGTATTTTGACCTCATGATCCTCCTACCTCGACCTCCGAAAGCGCTGGGATTACAGGCATGAGCCACTGTGCCCATTCAATATGTTAGCCTTTACGTAACTCATGTATTATTTCTTCTTTTTGAAAGTGAAACTACTGATATAACCCAAATCTAAGTGAATGTGGGTATTTTGAAATAAATTGATGTGGGGAAAATGTCAAATTAATTTTCATATTTGCTTATTGCAAAGGCTCCCTGCAGACTCTGAACTGCCATCTCAACCTTCTCTTTGGCTTAAAGTCTTTGCTCCAAAATTCATCCAGGGAATCCATTAGTCTAGAGAGCCCATATGTAGGCTCTAGATGTTTTCCTGACATACATACTGATCTATTTGAGACTATCTTTCTGATTTTTGAGACTTAACTACTCTGTTTCCTCCATCTTAGTCCACTGCATCATAGCTGCCAGTGTGTCCTACTGTCACACATTTATTGGGCTTGTTGAATGCATATGATTATATGACTCCAAGGCAAATACACTGATTCTATTCTCACATTCTCTTAAAAGCCTCCCAAAGTTCTCCCTTTCATTTTAAGGAACGCTGCCTTAAATAATCAAACAAAGACATCTACCAAAACCATTTGGTTTGGCAAATAGCAAGCAGATTCACTGCTCTTCCTGTCACTGACAAACAGCAGCGTGGAAATTAGAACTGGTTATTGAGAACTCTGATAAAGACAGGGGTCAGAGGAATTTTGAAAAATTCCTAAGCCAAAGAAATACATAGAAGAACTATCCTTGAAATGTCCAGGAAAAGTGTATGAGACCTTGCATACAGCAGGTCCTTAGTAAATATTTTATAAATTATAAACCATGGCATTACTTCTCACTGGTTTTAACATTTTCATGTGTAAGCATTCCCTGTTTATTTTTGAACTATGTTGGTTTTAATTTATATTAATAAAAAGAATTCTGTTAAGGACCTTAAAGAAGAACACAGAGTCTAGTAGGGAGAAAAAATACTTTCAGAGTTTTCTTTTAGGTCATTTAGATGTGTTAACAGTTAGGTTACAGAAAAATAAAATTCTTTCTCTCTTCTCAAATTTGAGTTAAGAATTTTTCTCCTTTTAAAAACTTTTAAAGGTCCAGCTTTTAAATAAAAAAGTCAAAATTACTCTAAAATATATGAATTTCAAACACAAGCTCCTATTTCATTTTGAATGACTTTATTGAGAACATTTTGCAAATTAGACTTTACAATTTAACATTTTACAATTAGAAATTTTATCTGTTATTACATAAGCTGCAAACATTTCAAAAACACTACAGAAAATCTTTTATTTCTTTGGGTTTTTCTGTTCCATGCTGAGCTCCTGAGATATATTTTTTCTTTCAGGTTCATTTTCATCTTCCTGTGAAATAAATTTTAAAAAACATTAAAATATAAACTTTAGGGCATTTATCAGCTATACTTAACACAGTTTAACTGTATCTGTAGAACTATGAACTACTATGATTCCATTAATCCTAAACACAAATGATAAAATAATATAACATTTAAATATTTACAGGTTTTGTTTTATAGTACACATTAAAATTTGCTGTATGTTTTTAAAAGCAACCAATTTTATCAATGCCCTAAAAATTACTTTGGAAACACTTGCCACTGAAAAGTGTTCTTTGCAGGGGATGAAACAGATATTTTTACTTCACTGCTTTATAAAAAACAATAAATTTAATTTCTAAGACACTTCATGTGCTCCAGTATGGCATTTTTTGTCCCATCTAGTATATTTTCTTGATAGCTGTGCCAATTTTCCAATTACTTGTACCACCATATGTTATCTGAAGATCAGTGAGGTCTAAAATAGGAAGCACATGCATGTCAGGCTGTAGAATGCTTACAATCTTCTACAGTTTCGATTCTAAGTGGTGGCCTCATAATTCAAAGCAGGTTCCTGTGGAACATGGTGAATAGATGAAGTGACATCATAATGTCTGCTTCCACAGAAATGAAGTGCATCTTGTGTTCAATATTAAATGGTAACCTTCAAAGTATAAATAATGAGAGTCAGGAAAAATATTTCATCTTATAATTTATAACCCATCTCATCAGACATGTTCCCTCAACAATACCCAATTGCAAAACAGTCTTATTTTCCTAATATTTCTGACTTATCACATAAGATTATTTACTTCTATTAACTGGCATAAAGGTACTCGTTCTTTTCTGAGTTAATTAAAGCATAAACATCAATTTTTTTAAGTATTTCTAGACAACAGTAATAAATATCAGTATCATCAAACATACCACTCTGTACCTAATGAAACCAAATTAAATTGAATTAAATAATTGTTGAGCCCTACTTCATGAATTGACTTATTAAGTAAAAGCAAACCAAAGGGTACATATTTGTTTTCTATGAGAAACTACACACTTGCCAATAATCATTAAGGTGAAAGAAAAAAGCTTCTTTTATATACTTTGTCTCTCTAAACTCAACAGAATCTGTGATTTAGACTTTGTTAACACTGGGAAAGTAGAGAAATTATCAATATTATCAACCAATCTGAATCATTATGGATATGTAGAACACCAAGAATGGGGTTTTGAGTATCATTTTGGCAATGTAACTTTGATACATTTTTCCAAGTATGATGGCCACTTTGTGTCATTTCATTTTTTCCCTATTTTATCTCCAGTGAATAGATAAATTCAATTAAGTTTGACTCTTGAAAATTTATTAATGAACACGTACTTTCCACTTTTAGACAAAGTTTCCTAGAGATTACATTTTAACTACATTGCAATAAAAAAAAAAAAAAAAAGTCCTACCATCTAACAGGACTTAGTATACAGTTGTAGTCCAATCAATGTTTTCTGAACTATGTGAAACAGTGGAATAATGAATAAAAGGCATGCCTGCATTATTACATAATTTGGAAAAGCATAATGTTGTTCTTATTTAACCATAGTAAGTTAAGATTGCTAGTACTCACACTTCTAGAAATCTTGACTTACTATAATAGCATTGAAAATAAAATAAGCCAAACTGTTTGAAGCAACATGAGCCAAAACAGCAATTATCAAGCTCATGTCCTTTAATTTAAGAGAAGGATGGAGCCTTAATCACACAAACAGTCTACTAAGTTTCTGCACCATATAACTTCCTGGTTTAACAAGCTTGGTTTATCTAGTTTTCTCTAGCAACCTTCAACACTACACTAAGTCAAAACAGAAATGTAAAGACTCAATAATAACCCCGAGGACTAGGAAGTACTTAAATACTTTGCTTTCATATTTAACTATGTATATGAGCTACTGGAACACAGTTAAGTGAAATAAAAATTTGCAACTTCCATTAATTTGAATATGTTTTAATATATGTATAAGATATATATATATATATATATGCCAGTTAAGTAACATTCTTAATATAATGTTGGTCTTTTGTTACTGAATTTTTCTTAGTCATAAAGTGTCGTTTATAAACGCATGCCTTCTAAGACTGCCTGCTGCTCAGGACAGGTAAATAACTGTTTTACACCTTTCTTTATGTTGAGGATTTGTCTTAAAATATCTTGCCTTTTATGCTAAGTCACTTTTATAACAAATAAGAGCCATTCTCTTTCTTCCTTTTACAAGGATAGATGTGACCCAGATGCAGAAAATGACTATGAAGGGGTGAAAAAGGCATTCAACTCTAATTGCTAGAGTATAATATTAAAATTGCTGTAACATCATCAAAATAATAATAATAGATTTTATCATAAATAAAAGCATTAAAATTTGATCTAATAAAGCTCTAAGAAAGTCTCTTCAGAAGTGCTAATTTGTGTTTTTTAACACTGCAGGTCAATTTTTGTAAGAACTTTACATGCAGTTCCAGATTAATTAAATCACTAAAGTTACTTAGACAGCAAATCAAGTATCATTGAAAAATGACTGCATAATAAATAAAATTGCAAAGGAAGCTTTTTACCAAAGCATTTCTTTACTACTGGATACTATCCGCAAGCAAAAATTTCTTCTGATATATAGCAGAAGTTTTCTTCTCTCTGCTGAGATAAGACATCTGTTTGTTTCCCAATGAAAGAAGACCCTAGCTACACGGATCATTTTCTTAGTGACAACCCTGATAAGTTTGACATTTGTTTCATGCAATGTTCTGAAACAGTCATGAAGAAAATGTACCCTTTGAGGCTACTGGAAAGTAGACAGGCTTACCTCTTAATATTTACACTTGTTAATTCATACTCTAAAACACTCATTGACTAACAACCTTGTACATCTGCTAGTTATATGTGGAATTTCAAGAATGTGCACTCAATTAACAGTAACACCCATAATATCAAATAACAAAATTTGGTGCCTTAGCTTTGTTCTTTCTGCGTTGACAGAGGCTGCAGTGAGAATGGTAATTTCTAGGCACAGACGGACCATGTAATAATGGCCTGATACTCCAGGTGGCAATATGAGACTAAGAGTTATTCTAACAGCGAAATTAAGTAAAAACACTGCCATGTTTATCTTATCACTAAATAAAACTTGCAAGATTTTGTTTAAATGTTAGCTTGCACTATCCATTTGTGACAGAGGAGCCCCACTGCTTTTCTTTATTTATAAATGCGACTTAGTTCTAGATCGTAGTTCAAAGCATTGATGCTAATAAATAAAACCTATCCATTCTTTTCCTTCCTCTTAGGAGTTGATGGCCAACTATTTTAGCATCTGGAATTTATATCGCTCAGGTAATAACTGAATACAAATGACACTCTATGAATACAAATAACTTTATATATACTTTGTAGACTGCCAAGTTTAAAAGATTTCTTAAAATCTTATAATCCTTTATATAAAAGGATTGTACAAAGGGGCAACTCTCCCTATTACTTATTTATATCTTTATAGATGTTAATGTAAGTACATTTATAATGGAGAAACATGGCAAACACCACCTTAACCAAATGGTCAAGGTTAATATCCCCAATAATATATATTAATACCCTGAAATGATATACTAAAAGGGACACATCACCTCTGGTTTGTGGCACCTTTTCCAACAGTGTGGAACTTTCCTAATTCTAAGTATGAGCAAACATCAGATAAACACTATAAAACAAGTGAACAGTAGTCCTCAAAAGTGTCAAGGTCAGCTGGGCATGGTGGCTCATGCCTGTAATTACAGCACTTTGGGAGGCCAAGGCAGGAGGATGATGAGGTCAAGAGATTGAGACCATCCTAGCCAACATGGTGAAACTCAGTCTCAACCAAGAATACAAAAATTGGGCATGATGGTATGCACCTGTAGACCCAGCTACTTGGGAGGCTGAGGCAGGAGAACCGCTTGAACCCAAAAGGCAGAGGTTGCACTGAGCCCAGGCTGTGCCACTGCAGTCCAGCCTGGTGACAGAGGGAGACTCCGTCTCAAAAAAAAAAAATTTTTTTTTAAGGTCATGAATGACAAGACTTGGAGCTGTCACAGCTTGGAGGAGACTAAGAGGACATGATGATTGAAGCACTGAGGAATCCTGGACTATAAAATGAACATTAGTGAGAAAACTGGTCAAATCTGAAACGGTTCATAGGGTACTTAGTGGTAGCTTCTCAAAGTCAATGTCTTGGTTTCAGTAATTGTACGATGGTTATATAAAATGGTAACACTACAGGAAACTGGATAAAAGGCAAATGGGAAATTTCTATATTATGTTTGCAACTTTTCTATATATTTAAAGTTATTTCAAAGTAAAATGACTAAAGAAACAGAAAATAAAAATGGCTACTTAATGAAATTTTCCTAAATTCAAATAAAGTTAGTAAAATGTATTGGCAAAGATTTTATGAGGAAAGGGGTGCAAGGCACCTGTAGCCTCTACACTGAAAGCTACAGCTATAATTGATAGTTTGCTTTCCACTGTTCTACTCCAAATTCCTAAGTACCTAAAATGTTCATAATGGTGATACTGTTTTTATTTTTTTATCTGCGCTTTGCCACATTTTCTTGCTTTCCCATTGTGAGTATAGATTACTTTCGCAATCAGAAAACAGAGCTTTTGTTTGCTAAGTCTCTTTATAATTTGGCCATATGAACACACTATTTCCAGAAATAAGTAAAAGTTACAAGACACTATGATTACAAAAAGAAGATGTCAGTTATTTTTATTTTACCAAGTATGTTATTCACATCAAGCAAACATACATGGTGGTGCAACAGTAAAATGAAGTGAGAAGGCACAGACAGGCACTCACTTAAAATGTTTCTATATTCTTATGATATTTTCTTTAGATTTTAAATATTCACGTTCCTAATCAGAGAAGGGAACAGTTATTATAGCTGGATCCAAATTAAGTCAGTATTATCTCTATACCTTAATAATGGTTCTTTTAAAAATATAAGTATATATATAGCCTTTAGGAAAAAAACATGTGGACACACTCAACCTGTTCTAACTGTTGGTAGCTATGGAACAAGTGTAGAAAAGCAAATATACTACATCGTTTCAATCTGTGGTCAAAAACTACAATCTTTCATTCATCTAAAAACATGCTAGATATATAAGTCTCAACAGCACATAAAACTGTGTTTTTAAAACAGAAAATATGCTAGTGCTGCACAATGAAGAAAAAATTTATCTTAATAACTGAAAAATACTGACGATAATGAAAATGTTCTAGGCAAAATGAGCACACTGCATGCTTCAGACTGAAATTAATTAGAGTTTTTAACGTTTTACAATTCCACCATAATTCTTTAAATGGTGCATTTACTTCATAGTAATAAACACTTGGATCATTAAGTAAAGTGCAAAATGTGTGGATGTGCTACATTTAACAACCTGTGGCCTTTTTTTCGATACTTCTGCATTCAGTTTTCCAATGCATTGAATAAGCAATTGAAGACCACAATTAAATCTCCTGACTTTGCATATTTGAGATTCTTATTTCACTTAATACAAAAGGCAATTAATATACCATTTTACAACTGAATTCCAACTTTAGTGAGCCATGATAGATACTGAAATGAACTTACAAGAAATGGTTAATTAAATTTACTGTAAAAAGCATAAGAATTTTTTTCTTATGACACAAGTTACATATTTAATTAGAAATTCTAAGGCTATATTATAAAATTAAAGTAACTTGCGGTGTTCTTAGTAAACTCAGCTCAAACACATATATCATTAAGTAGAATAGAGCTGTTTAAAACCTTACCTTTTTTCTCTATTTAGTGATTCAAAGATAGTTAATCAAAGAAATCTCCCTTTATTAAATACTACAACACCACATTCTTCATTTTTAATAGCAAATAAGATAGAAAAAGGACAGTAACAAATATCTAATTTCATGTATGAGAATACATAAATAACTATTTTTTTTCTTGAGTAACCACTTCTCTCTACATGATTAAGGAGCAGATCGAGTAAAGTTTTTAGCATCTTCTGTCACTTTTTACTTCTTTGTGGCAGCTTTTGGTAGCAAAGAAATGAGTCAGTGGTGGTGGGCGCCTGTAAACCCAGCTACTTAGGAGGCTAAGGCAGAAGAATCACTTGAACTCGGGAAGCAGAGGTTGCAGTGACCTGAGGTCTCGCCACTGCACTCCAGCCTGGGCGGTAAAAGTGAAACTCCTCCCCTGCCCCGCCCCCCAGAGAAAGAATGAATTTCTCATGTATGACTTAGGATCAAGAGGAGCTCCCTCTGATCTGGGAAAAAAGGCCCTAAGGATTGGCATAGCCATCTGAAGAGTGAATATTTACACTAAAGGCAATAAAGATCAGTGTGAAAAGTGGAAGTGGCAAAATAGGATAAGGAAAGGAAATAAATGATGGATGATAAGAATGAGTTAGGGTAGACTCTTAATGGGCACAATCCCAATTCTATAAATTTACATATTCCATAAACATGAAAAGCTAGAACTTTTATAATGGAAATTTTTAGGTGTTTAAGACATATCTGGCCAGGTGTGGTGGCTCAGGCCTGTAATCCCAGCACTTTAGGAGTCCAAGCTGGGTGGATCACTTGAGGCCAGGCATTTGAGACAGGCTGGCCAGTATGGAAACACTGTCTCCACTAAAAAAACAAAAAAATTAGCCAGGTGTGGTGGCTCATGCCTGCAGTCCTAGCTACTCGGGAGGCTAAGGCGTGAGAATCACTTGAACCCGGGAGGTAGAGGTTGCAGAGAGCCGGGATCAAGCCACCACTCTGCATTCCAGCCTGGGTGACAGTGCAAGACTCCGGTTCTCTCTTTCTCTCTCCCCCATACACACACACACACACACACACACACACACACACACACACACACACAGAGAGAGAGAGAGAGAGAGAGAGAGAGAGAGAGAGAGACATATTTAAGATATGGTGCTAATCTGAAGGGGCTAAGAATACTGTAATAGCCTTTTCTTACAGGTGAATTCTCTTATGATGAGTATGTTTGATAACTGACAAACTCAGTCTTGATGACATAAAATTTTCCTTCTGTAGTAAACTAATAATATTTGGGAATATGCATGGAAGTATAATGCTAGAAATCTATACTACAGGCTCCCACATTGGTAACTTTCCTTCATTTATGTATTTTTTATTTCAAAGTTATTACCTGCTTTTGAAGTGTTTCGGTTGATAAAATAGTAGACAGTCAGCAGTGATTATAGAAAAAAACCAGAAAGCCCCCTCAAATTCCATAATGGGCCAACACAAATATATTTTCAAATGAAAACAACACATGTCCAATATATACTAATTAAAAGTTTATGGTGTACTAAGACATGATATTTAAAGGGGTCTTCAGAAAATATTTTTACATAAATCATCTCTTATGCATTAAATGTAGCATTTAAAAAATCAAAAAGAGCCAATATTTAAAGATGGTACACCTAAGCTTATACGTTACAAATAGGTACTTAATGAGAAACGATATTTCTAAATTTAGGTTGTTTTACTTTATACCTAAATATGCACACAAGTTTAAATTCCCAGAAATTAAAAAAATCTACTGAATTAAAATGAGGCCAAAATAATATCTAAAAATGTTCAAGAGAGGCAAGATCACTAGTCAAATTACAGTTCCATACTCAGGAGATTTTCAGATTGAATAAAAATCAATGATTGGCCCATTAAAATTTTCAGACATAAATGACTAGAAATTACTCAGCAATAACTAAGTTTGTCATACACATGGAAAAAAGTATATACAGCACAACATTACTTATTCATTAATATAAACAATAACCATGAATTGTTTAAGATTGGCCATTGTGAAAGCAATGCTTTCCTTAATAACACATGACAGCATTTTGTTTATCCTTCTCACTGGACAATGAAAATTTTAATACAACATTCAGCTCATTATATGAAACTTAAAACTATTGAGAGAAAAACATTTTTTTGCTTAGTCAGACTCTAAAATTAAATTTTACCAAAACTAACTTCTATCCTGCCATTATTTAAAAAAAAAAAAAAAATCATCCTGGTGTGGTGGCTCATGCCTGTAATCCCAGCATTTTGGGAGGCTGAGGCAGGTGGATCACGAGGTCAAGAGATCAAAACCATCCTGGCCAACATGGTGAAAGCCTGTTTCTACTTAAAATACAAAAATTAGCCAAGTGTGTTGGCATGCACCTGTAATCCCAACTACTTGTGAGGCTTCTTATTCCCTTTTTATTTGCATTTTGAATAAAAATAAATATATTTTCATCTGTTTATTAGGTATTAGAATTTTTTTCTTTCTATAAATTGCCTTTCCTAAATTTTCTGTATTTTTCTTTTTGAATGACGTCTTGCTCTGTCACCCAGGCTGATTCTCCTGCCTCAGCCTCCTGAGTAGCTAGGATTACAAGTGTACAACACCATACCCAGCTAATTTTTGTATTTTTTAGTAGAGATGTGATTTCACCATATCGGCCAGGCTGGTCTCGAACTCCTGACCTCATGATCTGCCCACACTGGCCTCCCAAAGTGCTGCAATTACAGGTGTAAGGCACCACACCTGGCCAGTTTTCTGCACTTTCAAAAATTAAATTTAACTTTTAATTTTGAGATCATTGTAGTTCACATGAAGTTGTAAGAAATAATACAGCAATCCCTTATACCTTTTACTCTGTTTCCCCCAATGGTAAGATCTTGCATAACTGTAGTGTAACATCGTAACCAAGATACCCACATTGATATAGTCAAGAATGTAGTTTTCCTAATTTTTGCCCACTTTTCTATTGTGGTAATTGTCTCTATTATGATTGGTTTGAATATTTTCTTTGAAAATTAAGAAAATTATCATTTCATAGGTATTAAATATATATTTTTTTCTTTCAGAAAAAAACTAAAAAAATACTAATTATCATCTTTGGCCATTTTAACTGACATCACAATAAAAAGCAGTAGAAAATATTAAAAATACATTTTTTATATTTTTAGTATAAAAGATTTTAAGTATATTTTATATTTCCTTTGCTGAGTCTTGATGTTCTAAGCAAACCATGGCACACATTTTCATATATAATAAACCTGTACATACTGTACCCCAGAACTTAAAAAAAAATAGTTTCAGATCATATCACTGTCAAAAACTAAAAACAAATAGAATTTATATAAATGGCATTATAACTATCTTAATGTCACTCTATAATAAGAAGAGATATTCAAAAAATGAAAGATAACACAAATTCTCTGAAGGAAAATAGTATTACTTACATAAGAACTTGATTTCACTAACTCAAGTTCATAAGATTCAGAGTGAAAACTTGAATTTGCATTAAGATATAAAATAGCCTGATTTAAATATTTCAATACTTAAAAATCTTTCAATATTATTACTTCTGAGGCCAGATAAACTGACAATTTTGAGACTAAGAAACAACTTAGTATCTAAATAATAAAATGTCTAGATAATAGATTTTCAGTTAGGAAATTCAAAAACTATTTTAATATAAGATGTCTTCAATGTACAATACCCTTGTTAAGCAGAATAGTGTAAAAGCATTCATTTCAAAAGCCAATCAAATTCAAAGATGGACTTCAGGCTAATCTGTAAGCCGCTTTGATATAAAGGGGACATCTCTCGTATTGTGTTATACTTCTCCTTAGAGATACCAAGTCATAGAGTATGAAAGGTGACAGAGTCCTAAGATATCTTATTTAAATCCCCATTGTATGAATGAAAATACCACAAGATTGACAAAAATATGAAGTCAATTTCACCAGACTTTTAAAACTGCTTAGTAACTTAAAAATCCGACAACTCCCCAAACTATCTTCCAAACTCAAATAATTTAAAACTGCTTTGTTGAGGCAAAATAAAAAAAGTAACTTCATAGTGAAGAAAACTGTCAAATACTACCTTGACTGATCGACCAAGGCTGACATCACTAGTAATGTATAGTATATATAGTGAAATCATGTTCCCCTGATGTGATTCACAGAGAAGCGACATCACCTATGATCTATTGTAGCTTTCCCATTAAGGCACAAACTCAATCTAATCATGAGAAAATATTAAGCAAACTCAAATAGTGGGACATTCTACAAAATAACTCTATAGTACTCTTCAAAAGTATCAAGATCATGAAAGGCAAGGAAAAAGTAAAGAATTGCCACAGACTGGAAGAGACTGAGGAGACATACTGACAAAATGAAACAGGAGAACCTAGATTGAATCTTGGTCCAGAAAAAGAATACTGGTGGCAAAACTGGTAAAATACAAATAAGTTCTATAGTTTATTTGACAGTATCATATTAAGATTAATTCCTTAGGTTTGAGAATTGTTCTATGCTTATGTAAGATGTTAACCTGAGGAGATGGGTAAAAGGTATATCAGAACACTCCATACTACTTTTACAATTCTTCTAAAGTTGTCTCAACAAAAAATAAAAACAGAGAAACGTCTAATTTTTGTTAGATGATTTAGAAGTACATTTGATTTCAAATACTATAAAGCTACCTGCCAAAATAATATGGAAAGGCAGAGTTACGGAAAACGGGGTTCAGCATTTCCATGATATGGACAGTTCATGACAGACTCTACACTATAAATGAGTATTCACTGCCAGCTCGTAGAATCATAAAGTCATTCAGTAACACTGAGTGATGTCTAACACATGAAATTCACTGTCATGTTTTTAAATTCATGCATTTTAAGAACCATTAGAGAATGATTCAACTGTAATATGGTAAAATGTAATATAATCAGTTTCTATTTCTTCAGCCATGGTTTCTTTGGGAGGTAGATGTCCGTATTAATACCAGCATTTTATCTCAAAGTTTAATCAGGGGTTTCAAAATAATGTCTATTATATAAGGAAAAAAGAGGTGCTTAAGAAATTTTTCCATATGAGCATTATTTGATCCAGGACTAACTGAATTAAGTCTAAAATGTCAAAACAGTGGTTTGTAGCTTTCCTTGAAGAGGTCCCTTACGTTCCTTGTAAGTTGTATTCCTAGGTATTTTATTCTCTTTGTAGCAATTGTGAATGGCAGTTCGTTCTTGATTTGGCTCTTGTTAAGCCTGTTATTGGTGTAGAGGAATGCTTGTGATTTTTGCACATTGATTTTATATCCTGAGACTTTGCTGAAGTTGCTTATCAGTTTCAGGAGTTTTTGGGCTGAGCTGATGGGGTCTTCTAGGTATACTATCATGTTGTCTGCAAATAGAGACAATTTGGCTTCCTCCTTTCCTATTTGAATACCATTTATTTCTTTTTCTTGCCTGATTGCTCTGGCTAGAACTTCCAGTACTATATTGAATAGAGGTGGTGAGAGAGGGCATCCATGTCTAGTGCCAGATTTCAAAGGGAATGCTTCCAGTTTTTGCTTATTCAGTATGATATTGGCTGTTGGTTTGTCATAAATAGCTTTTATTATTTTGAGATACGTTCCATCAATACTGAGTTTATTGAGGGTTTTTAGCATAAAGGGCTGTTGAATTTTGTCAAAGGCCTTCTCTGCATCAATTGAGATAATCATGTGGTTTTTGTTTTTGGTTCTGTTTCTGTGGTGAATTACGTTTATAGACCTGCTTATGTTGAACCAGCCTTGCATCCCCGGGATGAAGCTTACTTGATCATGATGGATAAGCTTTTTGATGTGCTGTTGCAATCGACTTGCCAATACTTTCTTGAAGATTTTTGCATCTATGTTCATCATGGATATTGGCCTGAAGTTTTCTTTTCTTGTTGAGTCTCTGCCAGGTTTTGGTATCAGGATGATGTTGGTCTCATAAAATGAATTGGGAAGGATTCCCTCTTTTTGGATTATTTGGAATAGTTTCAGAAGGAATGGTAAGAGTTCCTCTTTGTGTGTCTGGTAGAATTCGCCTGTGAACCCATCTGGACCTGGGCTTTTTTTGTGTGGTAGGCTTTTAATTGCTGCCTTGACTTCTGACCTTGTTATTGGTCTATTCATAGTTTCAGCTTCCTCCTGGTTTAGGCTTGGGAGGACACAGGAGTCCAGGAATTTATCCATTTCTTCCAGGTCGACTAGTTTACGTGCATAGAGTTGTTTATAATATTCTATGATGATGGTTTGAATTTCTGTGAAATCTGTGGTGATTTCCCCTTTATCATTTTTTATTGCATCTATTTGGTTGTTCTCTCTTTTCTTTTTTATCAGTCTGGCTTGTGGTCTATTTTGTTGATCTTTTCAAAAAATCAGCTCTTGGATTTATTGATTTTTTGCAGGTTTTTTCATGTCTATCTCCTTCAGTTCTGCTCTGATCTTAGTTATTTCTTGTCTTCTGCTAGGTTTTGAGTGTTTTTGATCTTGCTCCTCTAGCTCTTTCAATTTTGATGACAGGGTGTCAATTTTGGATCTCTCCACTCTTCTCATATGGCAACTTATTGCTATATATTTTCCTCTGGAGACTGCTTTAAATGTGTCCCAGAGATTCTTGTATGTTGTGACTCCATGTTCATGGTTAGGAAGAATCAATATCAGGAAAATGGCTATACTGCCCAAAGTAATTTACAAATTCAACACTATCCCCATCAAGCTACCACTGACTTTCTTCACAGAACTGGAAAAAACCACTTTGAACTTCATATGGAACCAAAAGAGCCAGCAGAGCCAAGTCAATCCTAAGCAAAAAGAACACAGCAGGAGGCATCACATTACTGGACTTCAAACTATACTACAAGGCTATAGTAATCAAAACAGCATGGTACTGGTGCCAAAACAGAGATATAGACCAACGGAACAGAAGAGAAACATCAGAGGCAACACAGCATATCTACAACCATACAATCTTTGATAAACCTGACAAAAACAAGCAATGGGGAAAGGACTCCCTGTTTAATAAATGGTGTTGGGAAAACTGGCTAGCCATGTGCAGAAAGCAGAAACTGGACCCCTTCCTGAGACCTTACACTAAAATTAAATCCAGATGGATTAAAGACTTAAACATAAGACCTGGCACCATACAAACCCTAGAAGAAACTCTAGGCAACACCATTCAGGACATAGGAGTAGGCAAGGACTTCATGATCAAAACACCAAAAGCATTGGCAACAAAAGCCAAAATAGACAAATGGGACCTAATCAAACTCCACAGCTTCTGCATGGCAAAAGAAACAGTCACTAGAGTGAATCGGCAACAAACAGAATGGGAAAAAATTTTTGCAATTTACCCATCTGACAAAGGGCTGATATCCAGAATTTACAAAGAACTAAAACAGATTTACAAGAAAAAAACAAAAAAACCCATCCAAAAGTGGGCAAAGGATATGAACAGACACTTTACAAAAGAAGACATACATGAGGCCAACAAACATATGAAAAAATGCTCATCATCACTGGTCATTAGAGAGATGCAAATCAAAACCACATTGAGATACCATCTCATTCCAGTTAGAATGGCGATTATTAAAAAATCTGGAGACAACAGATGCTGGAGAGGATGTGGAGAAATAGGAACACTTTCACACTGATGGTGGGAGTGTAAATTAGTTCAACCATTGTGGAAGACAGTGTGGTGAGTCCTCAAGGACCTAGAAATAGAAATTCCATTTGACCCAGCAATCCCATTACTGGGTATATATCCAAAGGACTATAAATCATTCTACTATAAGGACACATGCACAAGAATGTTCACTGCAGCACTGTTTACTATAGCAAAGACCTGGAACCAACCCAAATGCCCATCGATGATAGACTGGTCTGGGAAAATGTGGCATATATACACCATGGAATATTATGCAGCAATCAAAAATGATGAGTCCGTGTCCTTTGTAGGGACATGGATGAATCTGGAGAACATCATTCTCAGCAAACTGACACAAGAACAGAAAATGAAACACCGCATATTCTCACTCATAGGCGGGTGATAAACAATGAGAACACATGGACACAGGGAAGGCAGTACTACACACTGGGGTCTATTTGGGGGAATAGGGGAGGGGCAGCGGTGGGGGGAGCTGGAGAGGGATAGCACTGGGAGAAATGTCAAATGTGGGTGAAGGGGCGGAAGGCAGCAAAACACACTGCGATGTGTGTACCTATGCAACTATCTTACATGTTCTGCACATGTACCCCAAATCCTAAAACACAATAAAAAATTAAAAATTTAAAAAAAAATGTCAAAACAGGCCAGGCGCCGTGGCTCAAGCCTGTAATCCCAGCACTTTGGGAGGACGAGGCGGGTAGATCACGAGGTCAAGAGATCGAGATCAACCTGGTCAACATGGTGAAACCCCGTCTCTACTAAAAATACAAAAAATTATCTGGGCATGGTGGCGCGTGCCTGTAATCCCAGCTACTCAGGAGGCTGAGGCAGGAGAATTGCTTGAACCCAGGAGGCAGAGGTTGCAGTGAGCCGAGATCGTACCATTGCACTCCAGCCTGGGTAACAAGAGCGAAACTCCGTCTCAAAAAAACAAAAACAAAACAAAAACAAAAAAACCGTCAAAACAAAGTGAAAATATATGGCAATTCACACCTTTTTTTTTTTTTTGGTAACCCACTCATAGCCTTTGTTGTACTGTTCTCATATTAGAAGAGTTTGGAATATATATTAGACATTTTATCTTTTTAAGATGATATTAACTCTTGAAGTCACTTCCATTCCTGGAATCCTTCCTTTCTTCCTCCTACAAAAATTTATTGAACAATGATTGTGTGCCAGATACTGAGAAAGGTGAGGTGATAAAGATAAGTGAATCATGACAATATATAAGCACAATATTTTTATGATTAATATGCTACAGAGTTGGGTTATGACATCAAGTATACACTTCCTCATGCCCAAAAATGAGTATTGTGAATCTTTAAAACAAATACTTCTCAATGTAACTTATACTCGTCTTTCAATGTAAACTCAACATCAATGACTATATAGTTTGGAAATAAACTTATGTGTAGAAAGTGAATTTCTAAAACTTTACTACCAAGTGAACAGATTACGTTGCCTCAAATATCCTTATTTCAAATTGAATGTTATTTTCCCCAGAGTGAACTCATTAATCTTCGCAGTTTTATTGGAACTTAATAGCTCATTAGACATCTAAGTAACACATCTCCTATGGCACATTAATTTTTCATGGATGAAAAAGAAGTTGAATTTGCTTCAAGAAAAATTTAAAATGCTATTTTAGAAAATTCCACACAAAAAATTTCCTCAATAGTGGCACTTTATAATCAGTATAAAAAATAACATCCCTATTTTCACTATTTCCACACCTTAAATTTACTGGTTGTATCTCTTAGCTACTACTTCGCTTTTATTAAAGAATGATTAAATGTTTAAGATTGTTTTGAACTGTTACCATAATGAAAACCACCACTGATACGTACTTAAATGATTCACAAAACAGACTACTTGGCAAGTATCAAATCAATTACAAAGCTTGCCTGAAAATGCATTCATTTAGCCAATGGTTTCTATGACCTATTAATTACTCTGTAATTATAAAATATTTCCCAATATTTCATAATTTAAGCTATAACACCTAAGAACAAAATTATTTTATACAATGAAATTTTAAAATATCTTACTTGAAAACAGATCTCCAGCAAGCTATACAAGCCATCTATCTATCCATTCCTCCCTGATTGAGCATGTGTCAGGCACTGTGCTAGTTGCTTAAAACAAAGGTATATAAACAATTATATACATTTTGTCTAATTACCACAGAAATTAGACAAATATAGTTTATTAAATTGACTTGACCTTTTTAGGCATATAGTTCCTTAAAAAAAAAAAGCAGGCCATATTCTTACAAATACAAAGCATTTTGATCTTTGAATCTTTGATTTTTAGATATACTGACTATTGGAATTGGAAGAGAAATTAAAAGTGATTTAATTCAACTTCTTGAAATGATGTTTACATTTTGTTTTTCTTTTATATATGTAAGTGTACAGATAAACACACATATACTCAAGTGGATATGGTTTTAAATTGAGCAGCTCTGTATACATAAATGGTAAATATCACTATTCTTTAATACAAATACAATAGTAATTATTTAATAAATATTCCAAGTCACAGAAATGAAATTTCACTGCAATGAAGATTCCACATAAATAACCTGGTTAAATCCATCAGTTTCTTTCAAATGTGTTTGTCTATTATCATCATGGTAGACCCTACTGGAGACATAAACAATCTGGGTGAGACATGTATGGAAGCTTATAGGAGAGCCTCTGGGAAAATATTCCTGATTCTTAAAAACAAACAAAAAACCACACACACACACACACACACACACACACACACACACACACACCAGAGATCACTTTCACAGGCTTGTCACTATGCATTATAATGTGAGGATACAATACTTGGAGACCCCGTAGCCATCTTGTGGCCATGGGGATAAGTCTAAGGTTAAAAGGCTACACACTGATAATGTGAGAAAACAACAACAAAAACCTTCTTTAATTAATCCTATAACCACCAAGAGAGGTATAAGGCTATTTTAGTCGGGGTACGGGAAGTTGAGGGATGGGAATCAAGAATTTGGCTTCATACATGGTATGTTTAAAGGTCCTTATTAAAAGTTTAGTGAAGACAAATAGCAGTTGGATATGTGAGTTTAGAGCATGGTATAGATTAAGGGCTGAAGATATAAATGGGAAGTCATCATAAAGTAGTTGGCATTTACGGTCCTTTAAAGCCATCTCCAGACAATGTTCTCAAAGGATAGCAGAGTTCTAAGGACAGCATTAAAAAGAATTTAAAAGAAACAGGGGGAAAAACTCATAGACCTAGGAGAAATTTAAGAAAGATGCCAATACTGTAATTGATAAGGATTCTTTAAGTAACAGAAAAGCCACCTACTTTTAACATTTCATATTCTGTATATTTGAAATTGGGAAAATTGGGCAGTTACAGGATTAAAAAAAAATGGTATATAGTAAGTATATAATAATGTTATATAATAATAAGACAGACAGTGGTGCAATCATGGCTCACTGCAGCCTCAACCTCCTAGGCTCAAATGATTCTCTGGCCTCAGTCACCCAAGTAGTTGAAACTATATGTGTGCACCACCACAACCAGCTAATTTGTTTTTAGTTTTTGTAAAGATGGGGTTCTCACTATGTTGCCTAGGCTGGTCTCAAACTCCTGGCCTCAAGCGATCCTTCCGCCTCGGCTTCCCTAAGTGTTGGGATTATAGGCATGAACCACTGTGCCTGGCCTGAAGTTATAAATTAAAATATATAAAAATGAGAAAATACCTAAAAGTTAATGACTTCATAATGACATTATGTGGCAAACACATTGTTCAATAAAAATATTTTAAATGTTTAGAAAGTGCTATTTTTCATAATATAGACGTTCAACGATTTCTCAGAAAATTTAAATTTATATTTCTCCATTGCATGATGACAGGTTTTTTTTTTTCTGGTCTAAAATTCTATTTTGCTTTTCTTATTTTTAAAATTACTTGTATAATCTTTTATTGTAAAGAGAAAACCCATAAAGACAGTGTAGTTCTTTTAATTTTCTTTTAAAGTAGAAAATAAACTGTACTTGAATCTTTGTACATTCAAACTTTCAGGATTGTTTGAAATCCTGACATACTGAATTTCAAAATACTGATGAAAGCAGGAATACAGGTGAACCACAGCAGACATTTGAGACTTTGATACCAGTCTGAACTCTTAGAATCTAGGTAGTCTAAATAACTGTCAGAGGACTCAGTACGGAAATGATACACCCCATAATTAATTTGTTACGTTTCACACATACCACAAAAAGCACAATAAATATTGAACAAGATGCCGATTTCTAGAAAGCTGTACAGAAAACTTGGTAACATGTTCTCTGGAAAAAACAGGATTTTAATGTACAAATAAATCTTTATGCAGTATTTAAACTAAGCTTTACTTAAAAATTTAATGATGCAAATGAAAGAATAAGAAATTTAAAAATGCCCCTTCCTAGCTCCTTCCTTTCCTTCTTTCTTCTTTTTATTCATTTGATAGTAATGTAGTGAATTCGTATGATGCACCATATGTTTAGGACAGGGAGGAGAACAAACAGAGGTGATATCCATTCTCAAGAAAATGATACATTTGAAAGGCAAACCTGTGTTCAGTTTATGCCTCTCTTCTTCATAACCAGCAAACTTAGAAAGAACCCTTTATGTTTCTTTAGCATATCAAATTATTTTGTTATAAAATGTTTCCTGCACAGGCCGGGTGCGGTGGCTCACGCCTGTAATCCCATCACTTTGGGAGGCCAAGGCAAGTGAATCACGAGGTCAGGAGTTTGAGACCAGCCTGGCCAAGACGGTGAAACCCTTTCTCTACTAAAAATACAAAACTTAGCCAGCAACAGTGTCGGGTACCTACAATCCCTGCTACTCTGGAGAACCACTTGAACATGGGAGGCAGAGGTTTCAGTGAGCCGATACTGTGCCACTGCACTCTAGCCTGGGTGACAGAGCAAGATTCCATCTCAAAAAGAAAAATGCTTCCTGCACAACAATAACCCTAACTATAAACAATAACAATAACCACAAGCATTCTAATGCTTATTGTAACTCTCCTGGATGTTTTTTCCCCATCCCATCGTCTTCCCTTCCTTCTTACCAGATGTGACCAATACAATAAACTGAATATTAATGACTCCCTGGCATATTGCTATACGTCAACACTTCATATGAATGTATGATGCCATGTAAATCTTCTGTAACTTGTAATTTATTTTCACCATTACATGTATATATTTATCCAGGTTATACTTAGTATGTTTTTCATCTCATAAGCTAGCATCACACACTAGAAACATTCCAGTTAAAGAAACAATAAATATATCACTATCATTTGATCTTGTTTTAGAGTGTTAGCCAAGACAAGCAGAAAAGAGAAAGAAGTATAAAAATTGTAAAATAAGAGGTGAAACTATCCTTATCTGTTGTATACTTAGAAATATCAAGAAAATCAATAGAAACACTATTATAAACAAGATAATTCAGTGAGGATCTCTATTCACACATGAGGAAAATCATCAATAGATAACAAAAAATAAAACTACAGATTATTCAAGACAACTTTTAAATTCCATATCAGCATTCTTTTATTTATCTGCCTAAATTTCAAGACTGATTAAAAGGAATACTGGCCACCAAGTATAGTTCTAAGAAGAGCAAATTGATATATAAGTAATTTGCATTCAAAAGATAAATTAGACGCCAAGGTAAGTTGCAACAGATTGTCAACAGATTTCTAGACTATTTTTCTTTAAAGAGCCGTAAGAGTTGAGAGCTAGAAGGTATTTTATTTAAAAATTACTCAATCCATTTAAAACAAATTCTGTAGATAGAAAAGCCATTCCCAGAATACATAATGAATTTCCCCAGAGTCCCATAGCCAATTGATAGAATCTGAATTTATGTCTCCTAAGTTGTAGTCAGGAATTGTCTGCCATGATGAGTCAGTACTGACCATAATGAGTCAATATGACTTTAGATCAAATGATGACAAATCAAGCATGTATTTAAAAAAGTGTGTGTGTATGCACCCTATGTCTTTTAAAAACAACTGTGATGGCCTTACCTAAAACATCTACATGAGCACAGCAGAAAATGTACAGCCTTTGGTGTCAGACAAATCTTTTTTGAATCCTGCTTTGGCACTTACTATTGGTTTGACTTTGTGAAAGGCACATGACCCCAGTCTCAGTTTTCTTACCTGTAAAATGAAAAAAGAAAAAAAAAAAAAACCCTATTTCAAAGAATGACTTTGGGTTTAAAAAAACAAAAATGATGATGTAGGCAAATTATGCTAGTAAAATATTTATAACACAGTAAAAGTAGATACCCTAATGTTAGCTATAGTTATTATAAAATTTAAAATATATTTCCAAAAATTGTGCTTCAAAGTTGAGCTCAGATGCACAGTTGGTGAAAGTGCTTTTTCTTCTAACTAAAATTAAGATAAACATTTTTGCTTCCTTTTCTAAAAGTTTAGAAAAGAATTACTTTAAGAATTAAGTTTACATAAATGTTCCTATTTGTTTATGAACCTACATATATGTGTTTGTTATGTGTCAGGTTCTGTTCAGGAGATGCAGAAATAGTGGTGAAAAACCACATATCATCCTCATGGCCCTTAAATTTCAATAGAAAGAAACAGGCAAAGAACTGTTAACATAAAAAGAATTTCATATTTTGATACAGTGAAAAAAATAGGGTAAAGGAACAGAAAGTATGGGAACACATGTTTTCTTAGGTAAGGTAGTCAAGGAAGCCCCTCTACAAAAGAGCTGACATTTGAGCAGAGATCTGAATGATTTGAAGGAACCAGTCATGTACTGATCTGTGAGAAGAGAAGGTACAGGGACAGGGGACAACGGCAAGGGCCCTAAAGTAGAAATAAAAAAGCATGTATGAGCAGCAGAAAGGTTGGGAAATCTAGCATAAGATGAAAAGTGAAGTTGATGACGACATAGCCCATAATGGTTATTTGATTTGCAGTGAGAAGCCACTGGAGGGTTTAAGAATTTAAATAACATGTTTGCTTTTGGGTTTTGAGCTTATTATGGCTGTAGTATAGAGAAAGATGGGTAAAAATTAGGAAAAAACACAAATACAGAGATAAGGAAGTAGGCAATTGCCAACAGATCAGAAATGATGGTACTTCGAGTACTTAATATAGTCACAATAGAAAGAAGTATAATAGGCTTTGGACGTAAGCAAAAGAAAGTAATTAGGAATGACTACTCTGCTTTTGATTCTCAAAAATGATGAAACTGAGGTGGGAAAGACTGTGGGAGAACTAAATTGTGATGGGAATAGAGAAGAATCAAGAAACCAATAATTCTATTTTGGTAACATTAAGTTTGAGCCAATCTTTATGTATCTAGTAGGAATGTCAGGCAAACATTTGCATATATTAATTTAGATCTTGGGAGAAGAGTTTGGGGATAGTATTACACATTTAAAAGTCCCCCAGATACAAATAAAATTGCATGCAATTGCCCAGGAACATACAAATAGAGAAGAGCCGCAATGACCAAGCCTTAGTAACACAACTTGAGCACCAATGGAGAATTGAGCTAAGAAGACTGAGAAGGGTCTGTTGGTTACAAAGAGAAAATCAGAAGTTACAAAACCAAGAAAAGAAAATGTTTCAAGAAAGAGGGAATGGTCGACTTTGTTAAATGACACTGAGAAGTCAAGTAAGATTTAGACAAAGGCTTATTAACTATTGAGTCTGACAAGAAAGAGATGGTAGGTGACATTAACAAGAGCCATTGTAGTAGAGTAATGGGGACCAAAGACTGGTCAAAACAGCTTAAAGAGGGAATGAGAGATGCTATTTTGCACTTCACCCTTCCTCTTTAATTTCAGAAACATGGATACTAACTGGAACTGTAGCAGCCATCTTTGAACCATAATGGAAAGACTAAAAGAATCACAGTAAAAATCACTCCTGATAGCCTTGAACTGCTATCTCTGAACTTCTAAAGTTACATTTTACAAGTCCTATATTTAGTCAAACCTTTCCTGCAGCATAAAAATACATCCTCCACAAACACATATGGTTCTTTATCCTAGTTTCTCAGCTTTCAGTTTGAATAAAAAATAGGCTGAGTGTGATGGCATATGCCTGTAATCCCAGCACTTTGAGAAACTGAGGTGGGCAGATCCCTTGGGCTCAGAAGTTCAAGACCAGCCTGGGCAACATGGTGAAACACAGTCTCTACTGAAAAAAAAAAAAAAAAAAAAAAAATGAGCCAGGTGCCATGGCACACACCTGTATTCCTAGCTACTCAGAAGGCTGAGGAGGGAGAATTGCTTGAGCCCAGGAAGTTGAGGCTGCAGTGAGGTGCAATCGCACCACTGGACTCCAGCCTGGGTATCAGAGCAAGATTCTGTCTCTAAATAAGTAAATAAAAAGCAAAAAAGCTGTATCATTGATTTGCACAAAAGTGAGTCTATTGCATTTATTGTAAACAGAACATGTTTCATGATGTGATTTTATATTTACATGCTCTAGTTATGCTGGAAATGACCATATAAAGCTGAATGTATGTATGAAAGGAAAATCTCAAACATAGTAGAGTTCTCTAAATGCTTTTGTAAAAATGTACATCTATATTGCCTTATACCCCCAACCATAGATACTCAAATTCAAATCTCTCAATTTCAATTTAGTGTCCTGAGAATTATCTCTACATGATTGCAATCAGGATGTGTATAACACTTCGTAGTCTTTCACTTATTTCTTAAAACATTTCCAATTCTGATGAAAAAAAAGAGACATGAAGGTGAGGAAATGCAGGTCCTGAGTACAGACAACTATTTAGAAATTTTGCCATAGTCTGGAAGTGGGACAACAGCTGGAGAAGGAATAAGGACAAGGTTAGAGTCTCAGAAGAATGGAAACTATTAAAATATTTGTCAAAGAAAATACTGAAGGAGAAATTCCTCTTGAACGAACAAAGATATTTCCCATCTGATATTCCTGTAGTATTAGTCTCAAAAATAAAGTCTTAGATATTACTAAAATTATTTTATTTCAAAATAAAATTTGGAATTTCTAAGTATATGTGAATATATTTGTAATATATGTAAATATATGTGAAATATTCTGTTAAAGGAATTTTCACATTTTCATTGTTAAGCACCAGAAACTCATAGAACAGAATGTCTTCAGCATAGATTTTTCCAATAAAACATTTAATAATGTAATTTAATTAATAAGTTTGTAATAAATTTAGCTCAACATACTCAAGTTACCTGCCATTGCTTTTTAAAAAAATTAATGAGAATATAAATTATGCTTTTACATTTTCCTCAGTTTACTTTCCAATACTAATCCAACAAGTATAATATATGACAATGTGCAATGCATAGAAGTAAAAGAGCAAAAAATTAAAAGGCTTAGGCATCTATGATGTTAATTTACTGTAAAATAAGATTATAAGAATATTCCATATATCTATAATGCATGTTACTTTTCATGCTTGTTAGTATATTTCCTTATGGTACAATGCAGTTATTTGATTAGAAAAGTAGTTCCTTAAATACTTTGATGAAGTTAAATATATTAATATAATTTTTTTAAAAAGTTGCTGTCAAATTGCTGCTTTAGGGCAATGATAGTGCTAAAACTGGAAAAATGCTTCATAATTGTAACAAGTGAATCAGCAACTTTCTATTATAAAAATAATTTAGAAATTCTCAATTCTTTTCCGCCCATAGTGAAGTAACTGACTAATGAAGAATTTGGAGATTTGCTCATCTTCAGTCTATAAAGTTTTAGCAGCAATAATTGTATCATAGTGACTTTTTTTAAAATGTGAATTTTTCAGATATGAAGGACATACGCGCATTCTAAGAGGAACTGTTTGTCTTCCTAGAGCCTCAATGAAATGGCCAATGGAATTTTAAAAAATAAGAGAGAAAAAGAGAGCAAGTGAGGACATACGCCCATAATAGTACTGAAATGAAGTCAGACTTCTACCACATTCTAAAAATATTGAGAATATTTTGCTGGGATCCTTCAAACCAGGTTAGTTCCCGTGCCATTTGCACCCTTCCTCTGAGGGTTTTTTCTTTTTATCATTTTTTAAATTGTGGCATAATATATATATAACATAAAAATTTACCATCTTAACCATTTTAAGTATACAGTTCAGTGGTATTAAATGCATTTATATTATTGTAAAACCATCATCATCATTCATCTCCATAATGCTATCTTGCAAAACTAAAACTATGTATCTATGTTTGTATCACACAAAATATCTCATTCCCTCCTTCCTCTACCCCGTAGCAACCATGATTCTACTCCGTCTCTATGACTTTTGACTACTCTCACTGCCTCACATACTAGAATTATACAGTATCTGTTTGTGACTGGCTTATTTTACTGAGCATAATGTTCTTAAGGTTCACTTATGTTGTAGTACATCTCAGATTTTCCTTCCTTTTTTCTGCCACATCACCAACATCACCATAAACATTTATCATTTCTGTGTTATGAACATTCAAAATCCTCTTTTAGCTTTTTAAAAATCTAAATTACTGTTAACCATATTCAACCTACAGTGCTGTAATATATCAGGAACATTAGGAAATATAATTATACATTATTATATAAATATATATTACATTTAATTATATCATATAATTATAGTGCTGCAGTAAACATGGGGTACAGATGCTAATTTATAAATTTTAATGCTGCAGTAAGCATGGGGGTAAGGTATCTCTGTAATAAACATGGAGGTGCAGGTATCTCTTCAATATACTAACTTCCTTTCCTTTAGATAAATACCCAGTAGTGTGACTGTTGGGTTATAAGTTAGTTCTACTTTTAGGTTTTGAGAAACATCCATACTGTTTTCCATAATGGCTGCATGAAGTTACATTACCACCAACAGTATGCAAGATTTCCCTTTCCTCTGCATCTTTGCTAGCATTGGCTATTTTTCATCTGTTTTATTATGGCCATTCTAACTGGGATGAGATATCTCTTCATGGTTTGATTTGTAATTCCCTGATGATTAGTGATGTTGAGCATTTTTTCATATACTTATTGATTGTATGTCTTTTGAGAAATTTCTATTCAGATAATTTTTAAAATCAAACGAATTGGGTTTTTTTTGTTTGTTTTTTGCTTTTGATTTGAGTTCCTGCTATGTTCTACAGAACATTTAAGGGGTGAATACTGTGCAATTA